TCCACCTTTTTTTTCTACCCATGGGTACTCAGATTTCCCCCATTTATCACTAAGTGTTGCCTTAAATGACCATATTTCCTTAAGAAAGTAGTCGCCATGTCTATCATTTGGCAAAATCATGTGATGGGTCGACATTGAGCTACTTAGAATTTACTCACATTCAATTAAGCTCACACCCAACAAGTATATCAACTCAATTTGACATTCTAACCAACACAATCATGATTCACTATATATACATGCATTCACAATCAAAATCACATGGGTACAGTCAAATTCAATAATATGATGCAACCCAAAAAACTTAAGCACTTAATATTAATTAAAGGTCTTAAACCCATACCCAATATGCAATCTAAACTCAAAATTATCAACAAGAAGTCAAAACACCAACCTTAATGCTGAAAAATAAGTGAGGGACAGAGGAATTGGGGTTGGGTTGAATTGAACTCCAAGAAAATGCACTCCCATCACTTTCAATACACTCACACGAGGCACACAATCACTCAAAATGCACAATGTAAGAAAGGGAAAACAAAATGGAACCAAAATTTCAAAGGGTTTTGATTTTTTAATTTAAAACAACCCTGGGCCTTTTGATATCAGGCTCGTTCGGTGCACTTACTAGCGTCGCTGAATGCATTCGACATATCACCATCTGGAGCTTAAGCTCACCGAACATGCCTGAATAATTACCAAACCTGATGGATGATTTGGCAGACGCAATGGAATCCATTTAGTTCATTTTGGTGAATCACCCTTTGGTGCTCAGGTTGCCGATCTTGAAAATGCACATTTTCACAAATTTCAGCTCAAAAGGAGGACAAGATTTAGTCCACTAAATGCCTACAGCACATCACCGATTTGGTTTTGGCTCGCCCGATCTTCCCTTATTTATCTTTCAACCTCCTCTCCACCTTCTCTTACAATGCATATTGTTCAAAAGCAATAAAAACAAAGTAAAAACTTAGGTTTCCTCCCAAAAAGCACTTTACTTAATGTCATGGCATGACATAGTATTGAAACTCAACATTTATTCTAGGGGTTCGGGATGGTATCACATGCCAAAGTCTCATTTTGCCTTTGATTTAGATGAGTAGCTATTTCACCCAGTTGGGTCTTCAGTTGCTTGATGGAAATTGAGTGAGAATTCACCGTCTATGATAGAGTGGAGGATTCATTTTTCAATTTCTTCAACACCTTATGGGCCCCTTCAACCTTGTTGTAGATCCTGGCAACCATGCCCGTACTACGGTCTCTTGCTTACCCACTTGGTTCTTTTGGGTGTGGACGATCATGGGGAGGTACATACCTATCTTTTTCCATCTCTTTATCTCTCCATGGTCAAGCCCACCAATCATTCCATCCACCATTTGTATCCTTGTTCCAACCTTGGTTCCCACCTTGTCAATGATAATTGGTGTGGAACCCCCCTCCCTCACTTGATTTCCCAAGAATTGAACTTCTTCATTATATAATGCCTCAAATTTTGCATCACCCCAGCATTGCCCACTATTGGTTCCAACCTCATTAACTAACTTGGTTCCACCTTCTATGAAATGTTTGGATAACAATCAATTTGGGTCATCATTTTTACCATGTTTTCATCTCTTCCATGGTCACTCTCAATTTTTTTCTTTGATATACTCTCTTGAAGAGTAGGCACACGATCCTCTCTATTGTGTCATTCTCGGTTAACCTTAGTCATAATCAAGCAACAAAACAGCCAACTCATATGGTTGTCTTATCAAACCACCATGGACTAAGTGATCAACCAAACTCTTATCTGCTGAGTCAAGGCTGAAATAGAAGTATTGTAGCAGCAAATTTTCTGGGACACCATGCATTGGACATTGTAAGAGTAGCCTTCTGAACCTCAACCATCTTTGAAGGTGGAAAGAACCTCTCAATGAATGCATCAGTGATCTCATCCCATGGAGAAATTGAATCATTTGGCAACTTTGCCAACCACCTTGTAGTCTTTCCTGCTAAAGAGAATGAGATTAACTGACCTTACAGAGTCTTTGGAGATAATTTTGAACACGAAGGGTCCACATACCTCCTTAAAATTTCTAAGGTATTCATAGGGATCTTCGTGAGCAAAACCCCCAAATATTTCTTTCATTTGGAGCAATGGTATCATTGTTCATGTGATGTGAAACGCAGCCCTCCCAGTTGTAGTGGGATTCAGATTGCTCCAATGGTCTGAACAACATTAATATGCATGTCATTCAAATCACCCACATGGTCATTTTGACCATAGTGACTATCATTGCCACTTCCATGGTCACCCATCTTGTCAACCTGCAAATTTGCAAACAATAAAACCTAACAACAACTTTACTACAATTAAACCAAATTAAAATCTAACTTCTCAATTAGAATTCTCAACTACCATTCCCCCCAGCAAGCACACCATTTTTTATAACGCCCTCCAAAACCAAATAAAAGAGTGAGCGGTCATTTTCAGTTAAATAACCCAACGAAAAGTTGGGGTCAAATTCCACAAGGAATGGTGTATCGTAGTGGATTCTTTATCGAGGAATATGGAATTTAAATCAGCTAATTCATAATAGTAAGAACAATTGGGTGGATGGAATCACCAACTTAATAGAAAGCTTTGGTTTTCAATTATCGAAAGTAAGCTAGAATTTAAACGAAATCAAGAGTTAATAAGCAACCTAGGGTGCTAGGATTGGAAGTCAATCTCACATAGGGGTAATTATGCTACTCTATAGTGATGAACATTCATAAAAAGGCTAAGTCATCTTCATTGGCGCTAATCATCTTACGATCTCAAAACATATATGCATAGAATCTCTTTTCAGTCTCATCTATATGCCAATCCAAAACAACCCAATACATTATTATATCCTTTCTTTCAACAATATGGCAAATATATCCGACCCATAACCTCTCTTTCAAGAAAGTCATAGACATCAAACCTAAATTTCTAATATTGAACTAATTACCCACTCCAATTAATCTCTTTCGAGAATCAACCGGAGATCAAAAGTAGGAATTCAGTCCACAACCTTAAACCATTAGTTAACCCCATGGTAATTAGACCGAATTCATGTGTTAACAACACAAAAACAAAGAATAGCACAATACCAACTACATTAAATCAACACCCAACCCCATTAGAGCACCCCTGAATCATGGGGTTTCAGCTAACCTTCACAAAACGTAAAGAAATTATACCTTTCGTGAAATCAGCCATGGGTAACATGAAATCAATCAATAAAGAGCAAACCCACCTTGGATTCAACTTCAAATTGTAAAATCCAAGTAGAAAGTTATAAAACCCCAAAAGCTTAGAGAAGTATTCTTCAAAGGTAAATAATGTTCTCTATCAATTTCTCTATTTGTTTTCTGAACTACCTTACAATAGATTCTTTGGGTTACTTATACTTTCTCAAAAATTTTCCCAAAAATCTAATTAATGATTGATTCGGTGACATTAGTCGGGCTCGTTGAACTTGCTTGGAGGATCCCCCTTCGCTCTTCAGCTTTCCATGTGATGCTCTAGGCTTCACGGTTTAGAACCTCAATTGGCAAACTTGATTGAGTCGGCCTTTCACAATCGGCAACTAACTGAATACAACCTTAATCCGTCATTTGAGTTTTAAATCTTTGCCTTGCATAGTTTAGCTTTAGGTGAAGATTGTTAAGTCCGCCGTTCTCACTAGGAACATCGCTTTTCCACTGGAGTTCTAGGACCTTCCTTGGTAGTAAAAAGTGTATTTCACTGTCAGATTGGGCAAGGTCATGCTCAGTAGGAAACTCACCCTTCATACTAGGCGATCAACAATGTTCACTTGGCACATCTTTTTGCATTTTTGACCCCTTCTTTCAAACATCAGTCCTTGCCTTATCCACTTGTCTTCATAACTGCAAATCATCAATATTCTATTAGAAAAGGACAAAATTATCCATTGAGGACATTAAATATTGAGCTAAATCAGCTTTAATGATTTCAAATCTACATCTCATCATGCTTGGTCTCCTAAGTCTCTTTTATCTACTTAAATACTCTGCGCTTGGAAGTATATATTACAGTGGACACACGTGCAATGCACATGTCCAGAAATTAGTTAAAAAGGAAATTGTATGATTGGATAGAGTATATATTGTCACTATCTTTAGAAGTTATACCTATGGAAAGTATTGGTGAACTGTGAGTTCAATTGGAAATAAAAATAAAGTGACAACTTTTTACTCAAGCCCAAAGGTTGAGGATCCCTGGCTAATGCGAGGGGCAAAATCCCTATATAAGCTTGTTATACACAAGATGGGCTGAATATTATGAAGAGTAATGAAACCTTTGTAGGAATTAATGGGCTCACTTTATCGCTAGTTCTAATGGTCATTGGGCCATGTGAAGTTTGTTGTCATCACATATCTTGCAGTGGTGGAACCATGTTTATTGAAGGAGGTTTAACCAAATACCTTTTTGAAAAAATATTGTACTATGTATGTAGGTGAAGTATCTTTTTATGTGTACATATGTACTTGTTGAATCCCCTGCACAGAAGATATATATTTTTTGAATCTCCTCTATGAAAATTCTTTCTCCACTAGTATCGTCTTCAAATCTATATTTGTTCTTGGTGCTCAATCATGAGTCTTTATTTCCACTCCATGACATTGGTAAATGATAATATTTTATCCAATTGCAGACATTACTTGTTATTTACAATCCATTACCCCTGATTTTAATTTTAGAGATGTTGACATACTTGTTTTATTCGACCATGAAAAATTCTTGGACATCTGGTGTAGATACAATTAAAATTATTCCTTGTAATGTTCTAGATGAAATTCTACATGTCACTTTTGTTCCATCAATATTTTCAAATATAATCTCTAAAAGCCCACTGCTTGATGGATTGAGGTAGCATTATTGCACAAATTTTGACACCTTTAAAATTGATGCCTCTAATCTCAAATTCTTTTTTATTGGAAGATCAAAATCCATATCTTTCAAGAGCGCTCCTATGCTTGAAAAAGTTACTTTGTGTTTCATTGGACAACTACTTTTGACTGATACATCTCTTGTTTGCTCTAATCTGACAAGGTTCTTTCATTACATGCCTTTGCTTCTGGAATCATTTCTATGCAGTTCAACACTAGAGGTAATACACATTTTTTATCTAATATTAATTATATAAACTTACTATATATATATATCATATCAAAATGATGAATCTGAGTGGTATCTTTAAGTAATTTTTGACAGAGAGTCCCCCGACCACTCTAAACTATATGAAATCTCTCAATATTTCAACATTATCTTTTTAAAACATCGAGGAGGTTTCAGGCATTATTTACTTGATTACAAGTTGTCCCAGATTACAATATCTCAGAACTAAATGTGTCAGCACTCCCTTGTTTTTTCAATTAAGGTGATTGAATATGGTTTCTTCTTCATCTGAACTCGCTTAATTAACAATTCCTCAAAAATTCTTTAAGACCATGTTTTGAATATGTTTGTACCTATTGCACAATTGTTAAGATCCTAATCATTCTCGTACGGTGCTGTGACACTTTAAAGAGTTCATGTGAACAAGTTTATCGGTCTTAAGATGGAAATGGATTCATGAAATTTATATAGTATCTGGACCTATACTTGAGGAGATCTTCTTTTGGAATTCTTCATTCGGGCAAACAAATGATTGATGAGATGAAATAATTCCGCAAAGTATCACCTAATGTTGAATTCATATTTGAAGAAGTCGAGTTGGAAGATCGTGTATTAATTACGTGAACCCGAAGAAGTCCTGCCTTGATTTTACTTACATATTATTTTTGTACCATTTCTTGTGCTTTAGTATGCCTATTATGCCCTGTCTGTCCAATCAGTACAAAGGCGCCTAACATAAGATAGGTACCTACAACATTTTTAAATTGAAAAACCACATAAGTTTGTAACATTGGAAATAACAAGCTTATGTTCAACAATCCGATTTATTGTAATTTAGTAAACCATCATTGAGATGTTTGGAGAATAATGAAAATCAGGTGGTTATACCAATTAATAACAATATAAACTCACTTGAATTTATAGATGGAAGTTCGAGGTCAAGGGGTGCCTTGAATCAAAAAATTTAAGTGGGAGTTTATTATAAGGAAGTTTTGATATGATCCTATTTATGTACTGAATTGGGACAAGGGTATCTCCCGATATATGTATGGGGCTAGGAAACCAATAATTTATCAAATCAAGGTCTACAAGTCTAGTTTCCAATGCACAAAATTATTCGTCAATAAGATATCATTGTAGAGAACTATGACCATTTTACCGCATACTGTCCAGGAAAACTGGATCACGGATCCATTTCGGATTTGGCCACCTTTAAAAGGAACTTTTTGACTTAACAAAAAGATAACTTTCACATTTTCTCAGAATAAAAACGTCTAGGAGCCATTTCGTAATGACCCGGAAGGTCATTTTTGTAAATTTTCACAAAAACATCATTTTACCCCTCCTATATAAACCCCAAGCTATTTCTAATTGGATTTTAAAATTTGTTTCGAGCTTTGAGTAACAAGTTGTGAATCATGTAAGTTTTTGTGTTTTAACAGGCTGAAGTTATTAAAAAATGGTTTTCTGTATCTTTTGGAGTTTCGAGTGTTGGAATAGAGTTTAGTCGATTCCATCAGTTCCCGTATGTGGAAATTGGTCTAAGAGAATTGTTGTTTTTCATATTCTAAGTCTTTTTGAGGATTTGAGGTCCTAAGTGGGAAAATAGTGAAATTTTAGCCTATGGGTTGACTTCAATAAGCATTCGGGGTTCGAATGCTCAAATCAAAATTCATAGAGTTCTGTTGGATTTGGCAGATGATTTTAGGCCTAGGTGAGGAGTTGGTTGAGTTTTCAGAGGTCCTGAGCTTGATTTGGCCTTTTTAGGCATTATATTCATTTCTTGTGACTTTCACAAGTTGTGGGTCAAGGAGACCTCAAATTTGTATTTTGATGGTTCCATTGATTTCGGAACATCGAGTATAATCGAGTTGCATATATGGTTTGTGGGTACGAGGTTTCGAATAAATTTCAAGTGTCCATTCGGTGTTTTGAGAGTTGACTGATTTTTCTAGCGCCTAAGGATTGTTATGTCTCGCGTTTGCAGAGGGTCGGCAGCTTTCACAACCCTCACAAAAGCGAATGTTTGACCACTAAAGTGAAGGTCAAAATTTATGAAGGGTTCGCTTACGCAAAATTGTGGTCACTTTAGTGATGTTCGATTAAGCGAACCAAGGTCTCTTATGCTAAATCATTTGGGTAAGTCTTCGTGACCCTGAAACTTCTATTCCCGTTGATTATTTGTGGCTTTTACTATCAAAACTTGAGATATTGATTGGCAAATGACAATGTTTTTTAAGAACTTGAATTCCAAAGCAAAATGGTGATTGTGAACTGATTTTCACTCTTTATTCTAAATTGTTTTCACCAATGAGTTCCAAATACTTTGGTTAACATTTTCAAGTAAAGATTTTCGGATTCAAACCTCATTTTTTAAATTGAGTTTTTGAGTTGATTTGACCTATTTTTCTAAGTGTATGTTATGGGTGTTGTTATTTTCAGAATCTTATTATGAATACTTGATTGAATTAGATTATGTGGCTTTGGACATTGTTCGGAAAGGAAAGTCTCAAGTCTTGTTTGACTTTTGATTAAATTGAGGCAACTGACTTCTATAAACCTTGTAAAACATGTAGAATCTTGTACTTCCCTTCATTGTGTGTGTTGGGGAGTAATGAGAATGACATGATTGGTTCAATTATTCCACATGATTAATCTTAATGATTAAAAAGGGGATTAATGAAAAAGGTGACTTGTTGATGGTTGTGCTTTGTGAAATACATTGTTATGGACCGTAATTTGTTGAATGATGAAATGATTTGATTGCATCACTGTGGACTTGAATTGCTTGAGTTTATTGTCTCTTCTTTACGGTGTGAAATTGCTTATTTGCAATTTTTTATGTGCACTGGTGATGATGCTGAAGGAAAATTGTTTCGGCAAGTGAAACTATATAAAGCAGAAGAGTGAGGCTGTTCAAGGTGAGGCTCAAGATGAGTCTCTATCATAGACTTCCCCGACCCCTCCATCGCCAGAAGAACTAAGGAGGGAAGCTGCACCTCAAGAACCCCCTATTAATGCTACCGAGCAAGATTTGAGAAATGCAATCCAATTGTTGACTCGTATAACTGCTGGCCACGGCCAAAGGCAAGAAGGTCCAATTGCGGGTATTAGTAGTGTAGATAGAGCGGCTGGCAAGCGCATACGTGATTTCCTTAATTTGGGCCCTCCATCATTCACCGGGACAGATCCTAATGAAGATCCACAAGACTTTATAGATCAGATCCAACACACTTTCGATGTTATGCATGTAAGTGGTAAAGAAGCGCTCGAGCTAGCAGCATATAGATTAAAAGGTGTGGCAATATTGTGGTATGAAGCTTGGAAGCAATCCAGGGGAACAGATGCACCTTCAGCTATATGGAAAGAGTTCAAAAAGGCATTCCTTGACCATTACCTGCCATTGGAGATCCGAGAGGCCCGTGCGGATCAGTTCTTAAATCTCCACCAAGGAAGTATGAGCGTGAGAGAGTACAGTCTCAAATTTAATTCCTTGGCCAGGTATGCTCCTAATGTAGTTGCTACTATGGGGGATAAAGTTCATCGATATGTGGATAGATTAGATTCATATCTGGTTAGAGACTGTACCATTGCTTCATTGAATAAATATATGGATATAGCAAGGATGCAAGCTTTTGCACAAAAGTTAGAGGATCAAAGGCAAAGAAGAAGGACACAAGAGTCAGAAATAGGGCATTCTAAGAGGGCCAGATCTATGGGGCAGTTTACACCATCCCAAGGTGAGTTTAGGCCTAGGTTCTTTAACAGACCGCCTAGGCCATCATCTTCCTACCCTACAGCTAGTACCCCACCTCAATTTCAAGGGTCTAGGGGCAATCAATTTGGGCAAAGAGGTGAAAGTCAAGGTTCACGAACAGCGGGATACCAAGACCAGGGAAGTATGAGCCAATCAAGACCTCCTCGAGAGTTTTGTAAACAATGTGGAAGGAATCATTTAGGTGCATGTCGGTTTGGGACAAATGCTTGTTTTTGGTGTGGTACACCAGGTTATATGATGAGAAATTGCCCTCATAGAGGTGTGGGTGGTGTGGCACAACCTAGTAGGTCAGTTGTTGCATCCTCGTCATCAGCACCTTCTTTAGGTAGAGGACAGATGCCTACTGGTCGTGGTAGAGGAGCTAGGGGAGCAGCTAGTTCTAGTGGAGTTCAGAATCGCACATATGTTCTCGGGGATCGACAAAATTTGGAAGCCTCGCCGGATGTGGTTACAGGTACATTGTCCATCTTTTCACATATTGTATATGTATTAATTGATCCGGGGTCTGCACTATCATATGTTACTCCATTGATTGCTGAAAAGTTCAAAAGAACACCAGAATTATTAGTGAAGCCATTTGAGGTGTCTACACCGATTGGTGACTCTATTATAGCTAGAAGGGTTTATCGTAATTGCATTGTAATTGTTTGTGATCGTGATACGTTGGCTGACCTTGTTGAGCTAGAAATGGTGGATTTTGATGTTATAATGGGTATGGATTGGTTAGCTTCTTGTTATGCCACGGTAGATTGCCGAACGAAGACGCTGTATTTCCATTTTCCAAAAGAGGCCGTTCTTGAATGGAAAGGTAATATTGGGACATCAAGAGGTATATTTATTTCCTATTTTAAGGCAAACAAGATGATGTCCAAAGGATACATATGTCATCTAGTGAGAGTGAGAAATATAGATGCGGAACCACCAACTCTTCAATCCATTCCAGTGGTAAATGAATTTCCCAATGTATTTCCTGAAGATCTTCCGGGTTTGCCTCCAGAACGAGAAATAGAGTTTGGTATTGATGTGATTCCAGATACTCAACCTATATCCATCCCTCCATATAGAATGGCCCCGGCAGAATTACGGGAGTTGAAGGAGCAATTAAAAGACTTATTAAAAAAAGGATTCATAAGGCCTAGTATGTCCCCATGGGGAGCACCAGTTTTATTTGTACGCAAGAAAAATGGCTCATTAAGAATGTGTATCGATTACCGGCAGTTGAATAAGGTAACGATTAAGAACAAATATCCCATCCCTAGAATTGATGATTTGTTTGATCAGTTACAAGGTGCTAAGTGTTTTTCAAAAATTGACCTGAGGTCGGGTTATCACCAAGTGAGGGTCAAAGACGAAGATATACCCAAGACAGCTTTCCGAACACGATATGGTCATTTTGAGTTTGTAGTCATGTCATTCGGACTAACGAATGCACCTGCAGTTTTTATGGATTTGATGAATAGGGTGTTCAAGCCATTTTTAGATGTGTTCGTGATAGTATTCATAGATGACATTTTGGTGCATTCAAGATCGGAAGAGGACCATGCTAATCACCTGCGACAGGTGTTACAAATTCTTCGTGAGCGTAAGTTGTATGCAAAGTTCTCTAAATGTGAGTTCTGGTTAAAATCAGTGGCATTCCTAGGTCATGTTGTATCCGATGAAGGAATAAGGGTTGATAATCAGAAGATAGAAGCGGTGAAAAACTGGCCAAGACCTACAACGCCTACGGAGATCCGTAGTTTCCTTGGATTGGCAGGTTATTACAAAACGTTCGTTGAAGGATTCTCTTCCATTGATGCACCCTTAACAAAGCTAACACACAAAGAAACCAAGTTTCAGTGGAGTGATGAATGTGAAAGAAGGTTCCAAGAGCTGAGGAATAAATTAACTTCAACACCGGTATTGGTACTTCCAGAAGGAACAGAAGGGTATGCAGTCTATTGTGATGCTTCGGGGGTGGGCCTAGGATGTGTTTTAATGCAGCATGGTAAGGTAATAGCTTACGGCTCAAGGCAGCTGCGGCCACATGAGAAAAATTATCCAACACATGATCTAGAACTAGCCGCAGTTGTATTTGCTTTGAAGATATGGCGCCACTACTTGTATGGAGTTCATGTTGACATATAAACTGATCACAAGAGTTTGCAATATATCTTTAAGCAAAAGGACCTAAATCTGAGGCAGCGAAGATGGCTAGAGCTATTAAAAGATTATGACATTGATATCTTGTATCATCCCGGGAAAGCAAATATAGTAGCTGATGCCTTAAGTCGTAAAATAATGACAAGCATCTATGGGCGGTCTTTGGAAAGACAAGGAATAACTAAGGATCTATGTCAACTAGCTAGCTTGGGGGTTCGGCTTCTTGAATCTCCTGACAAAGGGGTTATTGTGCAAAATGCGGCAGAATCCTCATTAGTAGTAGAAGTGAAAGAGAAGCAGTACACGGATCCTATTCTATTAAAGCTTAAGGAGAATGTACAACAGGGTATGACAAAGGCATTTGAGCTTACGCAAGAGGGAGTACTTCGATGTCAAAACAGATTGTGTGTACCTAATGTAGATGAATTAAGAAAGAGGATTATGATGGAAGCGCATCATTCGAGATATTCTGTCCATCCGGGGTCAACTAAAATGTATCATGACTTAAAAGAAATGTATTGGTGGGGGGACATGAAGAAGAACATTGCGGAATTCGTGGCTCAATGTCCAAATTGTCAACAAGTGAAAGTAGAGCACCAAAAGCCCGGAGGTTATATGCAGTGTATAGAACTTCCAATTTGGAAGTGGGATATGATCAATATGGATTTTGTCACTGGTTTGCCTCGTTCATTTCGGAAGTTTGATTCTATATGGGTAATTGTTGATAGACTGACCAAATCAGCGCACTCTTGCCGGTCAAGACTACTTATACAGTTGAGGAATATGCGAGGTTGTATATTAAAGAGATACGTCTACATGGAGTGCCAATCTCTATTATATCTGATAGGGGAGCTCAATTCACTGCAAATTTTTGGAAGTCATTTCAGAAGTGTTTAGGAACACAAGTGAATTTAAGTACAGCCTTTCACCCTCAAACAGATGGTCAGGCAGAGCGTACAATTCAAACACTCGAGGATATGCTGCGAGCTTGTATATTGGACTTCAAAGGTAGTTGGGATGATCATTTGCCATTGATCGAGTTTGCATACAACAATAGCTACCATTTAAGTATTAAAATGGCACCTTATGAAGCTTTATATGGAAGAAAATGTAGATCCCCAATTGGCTGGTTCGAAAAAGGTGAAACCACCTTATTTGGGCCAGATCTTGTTCATCAAGCTATGGAAAAAGTCAAAGTGATACGGCAGCGGCTAGAAACAGCTCAAAGTCGACATAAATCATATGCGGATGTTAGAAGGAGAGGACTAGAATTTTCTATGAGGGATTGGGTGTTCTTGAAGGTGTCACCAATGAAAGGGGTAATGAGGTTTGGTAAAAAAGGAAAATTGAGTCCACGCTATATAGGGCCATATAAGATTATTCGAAGAGTTGGCCAAGTAGCCTACGAGTTAGAGCTACCACAAGAGCTTTCATCAGTTCATCCGGTGTTTCATGTCTCGATGCTACGAAAATGCATAGGTGACCCATCTCATATTACTCCTACTGAAGATGTACAGGTTACGGGAGATCTCACTTATGAAGAAGTTCCCATTGCTATTCTGGATCGACAAGTTAGGAAGTTAAGAAATAAAGAAGTAGCTTCTGTAAAAGTATTATGGAGGAACCAACAAGTAGAAGAAGTTACATGGGAAGCGGAAGAAGCAATGAAATTGAAGTATCCTCATCTCTTTGAGATCCATGAGAAGGATGAAAATGCTTAGTCTAGACGCTGACAAGTAAGTATAAGTCTATTTGTATTATGTGATTAATAGTAGCACTAACTTAGGCTTGAACTTGTTTGGGCTGGATAACCATGCTAACATTCGAGGACGAATGTTTTTAAGGGGGAAAGAATGTAACAACCTGTATTATGCGTATGCTAGTTCTATTCACGTGATACTTGACATAGCCTTATAGTATAGGTGAGGGACCGTGCTTCTTATATGATTAGTGTTGGTTTAAACTAGCTAGCTCGCAAGGTGATGTAACACCTTGCACGTTTCAGCATGTGTATTGCAAGTTAGCTCCGACGGAAGTATTTAAACTAGAGGTAGTAATGTGGTAATTGGGCCAAATGCACTACCACTTACTTGCATTAATTTGGCCCAAGTTGAGTAGAAGGATAAGGGAAAAATGGACAGCCAAGGCCCAATAGTCTTAAGTCCAAAAAGGCCCAAGTGAAAAGTCCAAATAGGTGGACCACCTACTTGCATTAATTATGGCCCAAATTGACATGAATAGAGGGATAATTAGGAGTAGGGCCCAACAAGTGCTGAAGTTCCCAAAAGCCCAAGTTAAAAGGCCAAGTAGGTGGGTCACCTAGTTGACAATATATGGCCAAAATTAGTCAAGAAATTCGGCCATTACACCTCCTTTTTAAAGGGATAAAGATCAGATCTTTTGCTTCATTTTTAACTTGCAAAATTTTCAGATTTCTTAAGTTTCTCTCTTGGTCTCTCTTGGCTTCAATCAACAGCCCTACAAAACCTTGGTTCCTTGAGTATTGCCTCATTTTCAAGTAAAAGTTTGAAGGAGAGTTTCAGTTCTTGGAGTACAACTTTAGAGGATAAATTCCTAGAAACTAAGGTAAGACTACTACCCATTTTTTTTCCTCTCTTTAAATACAGATTTAGGGTGGAGAATTTTGTATATATTTATCAAGAACTAATGGATGGTGATAAATCTTTGAGTTAATATTTTCCTATTATGCTGAAAGATTTTTAGGGATTAATAGTGGCTGCCTTATGTATATTGTTGTTGGGGGCTGTTTGGGTATCTTGGAAAAGGATGTATGAAGTTGTATTAATGTATAGAAGAAGGGTGTAGTGGTTCACCATTGGTGCAAGGGTTGTATGGGCCTACTTTCCGTCAAGTGTTAACTACTGTTTTTAGGGCCTTGATTAGCTGCTGACATTAGCTTAATTGTGACTTATATTGTAGATTAGCATCCAAGAAGGGAGGTTGAATTGTGACAGTGGTATTGGTCAGAAAATAAGGTATGTAGGGCGATTCAATTCCATATTCCTTGGCATGAAATATGATACTTGCGATTAATGTCAATAAGTGAATTTCCTAAGTTCTATTCCTAGTAAAGGAAACGTAGTGGCAACGTACGATATCCAAATAGCTAACAATATCCCCCCTCCTAAGTGTACATAATTACTTAGTTACACGTTCAGTACTCTATAGTCAATCGAAGTCAATTGTGTCATTCAAGCTCTCAAGTAATGCATTAATGTTACATAACTCCTTATATTGTAGCTACTGTCCTAAAGTATTATTTTCATGTCTCCTACTACTGTCTCGTATTTCCAAATCTCAAAAATGATTGTGACTAGCAAAACAACAATCTCAAGGATTAAAGAATCTAAGTGAAGCAATTTGTATAACTATGGGTGGTAGCTCAGGGGCGAAAGCCTAGCATGGGCCGATCCCAATGGGTATAGAAGGGTGGCAGCTCAGGGGCAAAAGCCTAGCATGGGCCGATCCCGATTTGTGCAATGTTGAGGACCGCATCCCAGGGGTTAAAATGCCTAGCATGGGTCATCCTCTTCTACCACTGATCAGCTGGTCACTTATATCACATGCGTTATAAAGATCATAACATACATAAAGGTAAAGACAAGAATGTAACATACATGACCCCACCAGAGTTAACAGAGGCAGCCTCCTATTCTGATTTATGCACTTATACGTTGATACCTGGTTTCGTTTGAACTCTTATTTTTATATATGTAGTTGCCTTACATATTCAGTACACTTTTCGTACTGACGTCCCTCGCGGGGGACGCTGCATTTCATGCTGCAGGCACAGGTACTCTCGCTAGTAGACCCCCTCACTAGGAGCATACGACACTCAACTACTTTTGGTGAGCTCCGGGTTGCTTCGGAGCTTTACTGAGCCCTTGGTAGACTCATTTTGGTATTGTATCGTAGCTAGGGGTAAGGCGGGGTCTGTCCCGACCTACTCTAAGGGTTTCTATCTTTTAGAGGCTTTGTAGACTTATGTATATTGTTCAGTTGCATCTTAACAAGTTGTGGCCTCAATGGCCAAGTCTTGTATATAAGTTTTGGGTCTACTTATGTCGGTTCATATCGTTGTGTCCCTGGCGAACTTGTCACGAAACTTTCATAGTTACATACATAGTAAGCACAGGTCACATGTTGGTTCTCTCGGGCCGTTAGGGCATCGAGTACCTGTCCGTCTTAATGGGATTTGAGGCGTGACAGTAATTATATAAAGCTGAAGGGAAATGGTTCCGTCTACTGAAATTGGGCCAAAGGGAAAGTTTTCGACAAGTGATATTATATAAAGCCTATGCGAAATGGTTTTGGCTAGTGATATTGTATAGATGGGAAATGGTTTTGGTAAGTGCTTGACAATTTTGATTTGATGAAATTGATACTTGAGATGATCTACTTGATACATGTGATTGATCTACTTTATACTTGTGATTGATCTACTCTATAAGTGTGATTGATCTACTTGACACTTTTGATTGACATGTGTGATACTAGTTGGTTGTTGAGCTATGACTTTTTGGACTGTGATTGTAAAGTCTTATGAACTGTGTATTGTAAAATTGATAGGTAGGACTAGTTTCTATGCATGTTGTTGATCCGGTTAGGTTGGATAAAAGAAGTACTTGTATTCTAGCCTAGTTTAACCTTGTTTAGTAGGTTGCTTGTTGAATACCGTGTGGTTTTGTACTCTCTCCTTGCTTCTACACTTGTGTAGATTCCGAGCCCGAATCTGTGTGACCTTTTTCTTTTATCTATTTCTGAGTGTTTCTGAGGATACATTGAGAGGTAGTTGTTTGTCATCCCTGTGGGCCCTCTTTATCCTTACTTTAAGTTTTATTCTATTCGTGAAATAAAGACATTATTAAGACTTGTATTATCTTTCAAATTATGTATTATTATACAAGTGAATTGTTGTAACACCCCAGAAAATATTGAGCTAAGACTCGAACCATTCTTCGTTGTGAGTAAGATTTTACTGAGGATTTTAATTTTTCTTAAGTGTTAAGGTCACTAGATGTAGCACCTTGAGTTTCAAAAATAACTAAAGAGAATTCATTCAAGTCATTCAGAAGTTTTTTTAAGTTTTGGGTCAACTTCAAACGACCATAACTTTTAGCACAATCTTAGTTAGATAGCCTATAAGATATCAAATGAAAGGTCACTGGGTCCTCTTTCCAACGCCACCGAGTTTGCTAAATTTTGAGCTCGTATGAGGGATATATGCCCGTTTGAAGTCTCCCTGTCCAGTTAAGGAAAGTTAGTAAAAAATGTGAGGGGTATTTTGTTCTTTCCTTACCCCATCAGATTAAAACGTTTTTACTAAGGATTTAGGGGTCTAAACTGATTTGAGATTGAGGAGAATCCATTCATGAGCCTACATTACCATGGAGACCCTTGAGTCGAGTCGTTCATGCCCATAAATTCCACATGAACTCCATAATTTTAGTATCTTTGAGAGGAGTAGTATTTTTAAGTTCTAAGTCCTTATTATTGAGTTCCTAATACTTTTGAGATTATATTCCTAATCATGGGACTACCACATGTTACCCATGAAGGTCCTTGTGTTGAGTAGTTCATGCCCATAAATTTCGCATGAACCCTCTGAGTTGAGCATTCTTGAGATGAGTAGTATCATTGAGTCCTTGAGTTCTGGATTTGTTGAGTTCTGAGTATTGAGTTCTATGTATGGTTATTGAAACTCTTGAATTGAGTCGTTCACATCCATAGTTTGACATGAACCCTATTTTGATAAGTCTTTTACAATTATTCAAAATTTGTTTAAAGGCTTGAGTAAATGAGTATGAGAATGAGTAGAGTCAAGTTTCATTTTCTCTAAAATGATATATGGAAACTAAGTATTCCCGAGAGTAAATATTTTTACATTTAAGAGGAGAGGAAACACCAATTTTTAAAAGAGTTGATGAGCAGTTTTGAGTACTATCTCTTTTAAGAGGAATATTTTGAGTAATAATCTCAAAGGTGAGGAAGAGGACATGTTTTATTCAAAACATATGAACTAAGTTATATTTTTGGGAGTAGTATTGAGCACCGATATGGGGGAGAGTTATAACAACTCACATCCCCCATAAACCATGTAGTTAACATGGGTAGTAAGGGTAATACTTTTTAGATGATTCCTTATTGATTTTTAAGCCTAGACTAGTGGATCCACTTAGGTGAGGAGTTCTGTACCCCGGCAAGGTATAGTACAGTTCTGGAAGCATGGGCGAGATGTTGTATCATCACATAGCTCATAGTGATGGTTGTCGGTTAGAGAATCTCCCAAATAAGAGTTATTATTGTATTTCTACATACAAAAGAGTTTTTGCTGTATTTTTACATACAAAAGAGTTCTTATTGTATTGCCTCTTTTATTGTTGCTTTATCCTTGAGTATCCTGAGTTGAACTATGTTTCAAAGAGTTGAGTATCTTATTATTGAGTTGATTTTAACTAGGTTTCACAGAGTTGAGTTGAGTATTATTGAGTTGAGTTGAACTATGTTTCTTTGAGTTGAGTTGAGTTTAGATGATTGACTGAGTTGGGAAGAGTTGAGTATGTTTCTTCTCCATCAGTTCAAGCTTATGTTTATGCTTTAGAATTCCCCTTACATGCTCGTACATTCCATGTACTGGCGTCATTTGGCCTGCATCTTTTATGATGTTGATACAGGTATTCAGGGTCATCAACTGAGGCTT